TTCTTAACACACCCCAGGATCCCATTGGCCTTCTTGGCCACGAGGGCACCCTGCTGCCTCATGGTCACCTTGTTTTCCACCATGACACCCAGGTCTTTTTCTGCAGAGCCATGCGGGCCCTCACCTGTCCTGCGCCGGGGGACACGGGGGACGGAGGAGCCATCGGGACTCTCTTCAGCCGAGGAGGTGCTGCCAGCGGAGCTGCCACCTGGGGACGCAGCACCCTGAAAGGACAGAGACAAGACGGCAGGTTACGGGGGCAGGTGCTAGAGAGGTTAGGACAGGGCAGGGATTTATTGGTACGAGACGTGACAGGGGGATGGATCCACCTGGATGGGACAGGACAGGGTGCTGGAGGCTCCAGGGTGGGATAGGACAGGGGCTGGATGCAGCAGGGCAAAACCAGGAGATGTTGAAGGAAGCAGCACGGGGCGAGGAGCTGCAAGGCGGGATGGGGAGGTGTGTGAGGAGCAGGAGGGATCCATGCGGGACGAGGTGGAGCCAAGACAGGAGCCTGAGGTGTCAAAGGAGCTGGGCAGGATGGGGAGAAGCAGGGGAGGAACAGGGAGGCTCCAGAGCAAGGTGAGGAGGTACCTGGAGATGGGAAGGGAGAGAGGAGGACGGGGAGATGCTGAGGCAGGATGAGGCTCTCCAGTGGTGAGAACGGGAAGTGCTGGGACCATCAGGGTAGAACCAGGGCAGCGCTGGGAGCTACTGGGGTGGGACTGGGACAAGCAGGGGAGGTGGTAGGGCAGGAATGGGGGACACGAGGCAGGAATGGAGAATGACAGAGGGTGCAGGGCAGGACTGAGGAGGAGGAGGAGGTGCAGGGCAGGATGGGGATGACACGGGACAGGGCTGCAAGAGGATGGGGACCATGCGGGACAGGGCTGCAAGAGGATGGGGCAGGCACAGAGCAGGATGCAGCAGAAAGGAGCAGGAGGTCCGGGCAGCGCAGGGAGCCGCAGAGCTGCACGGGGAGGTGGCAGCGAAGGACCCGGGCAGAGCGGGCACTGACCGGCACGCGGGGACACGGGGAGGCGGCGTCCTGTCCATCACGGTCCCCGCGTCCCGGGGGCTCCTCCGCGGGGTCCTCACCTTGCTCCAACGCAGGCGGCCTGAAATGGAAGGAGCTCAGAGCAGCCCTAAGCCCCCAGACCTCCCGAGACCCCCAACTCCCCCCAGGGCTCCCCAAGCTCCTCTGGCCACCCCAGCCCTCCCTGAGCCCCCCAGTCCCCCCC